TAGTTGCCTTTTTGTAGAAAAGCATTTGTTAAATTTAGGACTTCTTGTTTTGTAAGTAATTGAAATATAAATTTTATATATGTATAAAATGTTTTACTATTTATATCTAAATACTGATTACTTATGGAAACTATTTTTTAATGCTTTTAGTAATGCCTGTAACCACTTGTGTTAAAGAAGCACCGTCCTTGAAAGAGCACACTGGAGAAGAATCTGCAGATATTAGACTGCCCATTCTACTTAAAAATATTGTATCTGAGCTTGAAAAATCTCTTGGAACAGCTTTATCTTCAATATTAGAAACAGAAATGAAAATTGCTTTTGGAGAACTCTGGATGGAGGTGATTATTTGAACTCTATTAGCTGGCAGTTACTTTTTTTATTGCTGAAGATTTATTTATTGTGTTTCTCATTCTAGGTAGTCAGGACAAGTAAATAATTGTAAGCGATGACAAAGTATGGTTGAAGTGAAAATGGAGTAAAAGAGGAATAGAGATAAGAAGGGGGTCGTATATTATGAGAAGTCTTGGTGGCACAATGATTAAGCATTTAACTGATAACCAAAGAATCAGTGGTTCTGTGGGAGAGAGAAAGTGGCATTCGGCTTCCTTAAGATTACAGTCTTAGAAATTCTTATGAGAGGTAGTTTTACTGTATCCTCTAAGGCCACTGTGAGTCAGAATTGATTGCATGATAATGATTATGTGGAAGGATTTTTGTCTTTTCCTCTGGCTTTTGATATGCAAAATCAGAAAAGTCACATGATCTGCTCTTCCTATTAAAAGAATCTTTCTAGCTCCTTTGTGAAAGACTAAGAAAACAAAGACTGAAGATGAAATACTATTTAGACAAATGAACTAATCACAGAATATACAATCCACTGCATATTTTTGTTAATAAAATCTTATTGGAATACACCTATGCTATTATTGTTTGTGGCTACTTTTGTGATATACTCACTGCATTGTGTAGTTCAACAGAAGCTGTGTGGCCACAAAGCATCAGATATTTACTCTCTGGCTCAGCCTTAGTTGTCTAGTGCTGCTGTAACACAAATACCACAAATGCATGGGTTTAACCAACAGAAATTTGTTCTCTTTTAGTTTAGAATGTTAAATTCAGGACACTAGCCCTAGGGCAAAGCTTTCTCTCTTAACCTAAAATCCTTCTCTCCTTTCAACATCTGTGGGCCACATGTTCTTTCGAGATCTCTGTGTGTCCTGGCATCAGTCCTCTCCTGAGCTTTGGAAAATCTCCACTCAGGGGCCCTGAGTACAAAGGATACAGTTGATCAGAACTTTTCTTTCTACATGTTAATCTATTCTCCTTTAACTTGTCTTTCTTGGTGGTAATCCAGTCTCTGTTAACTTGTCTTTGCTTTTGTTGCTCCATGGAAGAAAGAGGGCCAGTCTCCTCCCATTCAGTTTATTGCCTCTGAAAGCCCGCTGGATGGCCAGCTATGAATTAGTTCCAAATCAGTGGCATATAACATTGTAAAATTAAAGGTGATACTTGTCAAATCCTTGGAAAATACCCTTTTCATAGAATCAGGCTTATAACCCAAATAAGGATGTTTGTTGGTTTTTGTTTTTTTTTTAATTTTGTGTGTGTGTGTGTGTGTGTGTACCATCAAATCAGATTTGACTGGTACAGGAGGAGATTTTTCCTCCTTCTCCAGCAAAGCATCTGGTGGATTTGAACTGCTCATTTCTGGGATTACAGTGCAGCTTCTTGCCACTAGGCCACCAGAGCTTGCCAAGGATGTTTCTTTTAATCCACTTCTATCTTATTGGTCAATTACATTAAATTACATCATGGGAAATAACTACTTCACTACTGCCAGATTACATCCTTACATAACTGCTAAACCATTGAGAATTGTGGCTCAGATAACTTGAGGCCTGAGATACCAGATTTTGTTCATGAATAATAGAGAGGAGGTGAGAATAGTTTTGGGGATATTGTTTTGATGGGGTTTTTGTTTTGTTTGCCTGATAAAGTAGCAAATTAGCATTGCCATTGGTAAGATGGGATGTTAAAAGGGACATAATTTGGTACCTTGCCCTAAGTTGAAACTAAAAATATGAAGGGAAATTTCTTCTGGTAGACAATATTTGAGTTGAAATCGGAAAAATATCTCTTAAATTTGATTTTATTTCAATCAGAATGTCTAATATTAAGACTTTCACTAACAAAATGTATTCAGAAAAAGAAGTCTATTCTTTGACTTATGTTGTGTGCATATAAGTGATTCACAAATAAACCAGAGTGTAAATTTAATCAGATCCAGGAATATATTTAGAGTTTTATTTAGATTCATACTTTGTCCAAGCAGTAAAATACCAACATTTGACTTACCTCATAAAAATCACTCTTACCAAGTCATAATTGTTTATAGATGACCCTACAAAGGGTTTTTGGAAGTTATAAATCTCACTGAAGGGAATTAACCTTTTTTCTCCCATAGAGACCCAGGTGAATTTGAATCTCCAGAGAGGCATGACCTTTGGGTTAGCAGTACAGCTCTACAAACTATGCTACACTTTGGCAAGAGTTGTTCTGTACTGTCCATTTGGAACCAACTCAGCTGACCCTGCACCGATTTTCAGAGGCAGTACATTCCACAGGGAGAAACTGCCTATCTTTCTCCTGTGGAGCCATTAGTGAATTCTGACCACATGCCTTTCAGTAGGCAGCACAGCTCCCTTTTTAATTCCAGTTAGATTTTTTTCACTGATCTCAGTCATGGATAGCTAAAAGGAAAATTATTCTTCATTAATTGTAGTTTGTGTCTATTCTAAATATTGAGTGGGATTCTAATATTTTCCAGTATGATGATGATTATTACTTGATTGTATTATCCAGTGTTGAACAAGATGATGAAGCGTTGTCAGAAAGGTTAGCACAGATTAGACATTTCATAATAGAGACACAGAAAGTCATTGCATATGAAAACTTATATTTTGTTGATATAAATGATCAATCTTCTTTTAAACATGTCTTTGAAAAAATGTACAGATGGATATTTTTTTCTCTACATTTTTCCTGCATAGATCTTTTGCCCTCAGTTACATCAGATAGACTTATTTCTTTATAAAAATGAGCATGATACAAAGTAGATTGATGAACCTTTGCTATTTAAAACTATGTTTCCCTTCATTAATAGTATTATTTATTTTTACACATAATATAGTTTCTCAAGTGGTAAGATTAATACTACTAATGAATTTTGCACAGGCAGCTTAGAATTAGCATTTTAAGATTATGATTGACTTTTAATAAAACATCTTTTATTTGAAAATTCAACTGGCTGTATTTTAGTCAGAAACTATATGTTATTGTTGTTATGTTCCATCGAGTCTCTTGCAACTCATAGTGACCCTATGTACAACAGCCCTAAACCCTGCTCTATCCTGTGCCAATTGCATTGCCTCTGACACACCCATCCTGATTACCCCAGTCATTGAATCAATCCACCTCATACAGGGTCTTCCCCTTCTGCACCATCCCTCTACCCTCCCAAGCATGATGTCCCTCTCCAAGGACCTCTCCCACCTTACAACATGTCCAAAGTATGTCAGACGAAGCCTCAGAATCCTTGCTTCCAAGGAGTAGCCTGGTTTAACCCTCTCCAGATGAATCTGTTTGTTTTCTTGGCAGTCCATGGTACATTCAATACTCTTCTCCAGCACCATAGCTCAAAGGCATCAATTCTTCTTCTATCCTCCTTGGTCATTGTCCAACTCTCTGATGCATAACAAGTGCTTGCAAAGACCATGGCCTGTATCAGGTGCACCTTAGTCTCCAGAGAGACACCATTGCTCTTCAGTACTTTGGAGAGGTCCCTAACAGCAGACTTTCCCATGGCAATGCTCCTTTTAATTTCCTGGCTGCTGGTGCCAAGACTGTTGACTATGGAGCCAAGCAAACTAAAGCTGTGTACAATCTCAATCCCTTTACTATCCATCCTGTGTTGCCAATTGGTCCAGTGGTGAGAATCTTTGTCTTCTTGACATTGAGCCTCAATCCATACTGAAGGCTGCAGTCCTTGATCCTCTGCAGCAAGCATTTCAGGTCCTCCTTAGTTTCAGCAAGCACAGTTGTGTCATCTGTATAATGCAGATTGTAAATAGATCCTCCACCAATCCTGATGCCACACTTCTCCTCATAGAGCCCAGCCTCTCGGATAATCTGTTCTGCATACAGATTGAAAAGGTGTGGAGATAGGACACATCCCTGGTGTACGCCTTTCCCAATTTTGAACCATGCAGTGTTTCCTTGCTCTGTTCTGTCATCTAGTGATTCCTAAATAAGTACTTTAAAAGGACAGAAATAAATCCAGAGATGCTAATTTTTTCTCAAAATCTTTTTAGATGCTGTACTTGAAGCCACCATGGACCTTAATACACTTATTACAATGTTTTAAAAAACATTGGTTGGCAGTATTTGGATTAGTTATGGAAAGGAACGTGCTTTTAACTGTTGAGCACCTTTATGAAAATCTCTGTAAAGGTAGGATTTTTCATTTTAAATTTTGGCAGCATTGCATGAAAACATTAAGTCTGACTAGCAGATTATTCCATGGGACATTAAGGTTCATTAATAAGATGCTTGTCAATTTGACTTTAATCATTTACATGGCTTATATCTAAAGAAAATTTATGATTATTAGTTGAATAGATGTAGTTCATAGAACTTGATATATAGATGTTATAATTAAAAATTTCTTACTGTATTTAACATAAACTTTGAGCACACATTTTGTATAGTTTTAAAATTAGTATTTTTATGATTTTCATATTAATTCAATGAATAGGGAATAAGAAACATTTGATTTTCATGTTAAGTAAATTTTAGAACTATTAAACAACGATTTAATTGGTGATTTTTTGTCTGTGTTATACAGAACTCACAGTTTTCTTAAAGTGCCTGTGGGGTTGCCATTGACCAAGAGCCTAGTAATGGTGGACCTTTGGCCTTCAACCACACCTTTTACTCTTTAGTCTGTTTACATGTTGACAGCTTGTGTAAGATGGGGGCGGAAATCTGCTTAGAAAAAAAAGAAAACCACTGATCTAATGTTATTAATGCTTGTATATATTATGATTATGGAAGCTAGCCTTTAACGGATAGTTAATTTGCCCACGTATATTATTTTTTTTTTCTATAATTATATTTTATTAATTTTCGTAAACATTTACAGAGATTTTGGGTTTCCATTCATTCACTGCTGCACCATTCTCTCTACCCTCCTCCCAGTTTGTTCTTGTCCAAATGCCACAGTGCTTGTCAAAGCCAGTTCTGATTAATCTTCTTTGTCAGTCAGTTCTGATTAATCTTCTTTGTCAGTGTGTCCTTTGCCATTCCCTATCACTCCTCCCTGAGAGAGACTTCACCCTGAGTCATAAGGAAAAGGGGATGGCGTATTCTCTTAGCTACTTCCTGCTGAAAAGGGACGCTGTGGGTTTCAGGGTAAAGATCTTCTCTCACTACTCTAAAGGGCCCCTTTGGCAGTAGGAAACACGTAGACTATTATGGAGATTGATTTTGGAATTTAGATGCACTCTTATTGATTGTGCTTGGCCGTACATGTTCATATCCTTGAAGATGTATCATGGGGGTGTTGCAACCTAGAAGACACAAATTTGACTAACAAGTTATAAGTACATGAGTCAAAAATTATGGAAAAGTAGAAGAAAAGATTCTTTCATTGTTCCACAACCCCTCCCCTCCACCATGTAGCCCTCGCTCTAGACTCCTGTGATGACAGAAACACCCAGTTATATATCTCTTTTAAACAGTTCCCTCCCTCCTCCGCCTCAGTGCAGCACACATCATTGAACCCATCTTACTCAGTCTCTCTCTCTCTCTCTGTTTTATATATATATATATATATATATATATACACACACACATACTTTTTTTTTTTTACTATGACTTTGAAAGGAAAATGTTATGGCCATTGGCTCAATTCAAACTCATAGCAACCAAAAAGGGGCAAGTAGAACTGGACCATAGGATTTTCTATGGTCTTTATGGAAACCAGCTGCCTTTCCTATGTGGAGGGCCTGGTTAGGTAAGGTCACCAACTTGTTAGTTAACAGCTGAATGTTCAGTCACTACACCACCAGGACTCCTTTTCAAATGACTATATTAAGATGCTCAGTCAATTGTTATTTTTTTTAAACTCTCAGTATAAAATGATTTATTTTGTTTATGTGATCAGCCACTAATTGATCAACTGGTAGTTCAAATCCATCAGCCACTCTGTGAGAGAAAGACCTGTCAGTCTGCATCCATAGTTTACAGCATGGGAAACCCCATGATGCAATTCTCTTGTGGCCTATCGGGCCACTGGGAGTTGGTATGGCACTCGGCCTGGGCACTACTTGATGATTGGTTGCCTATTGGCAGTTTCTGTCAGCCGTCACAGTTTTCATTGCCAGCTGTAAGAGGTGATTGCTCAACAAGTTAAAACAAACAGGTAGTTATTTGATTGTCTCAATGAGTTGAGCATCCCTGATGGCACTCTAGTAGAAGCACTCAACTATTAACTGAAAGGTTAGAAGTTCTAACCCACCTCCCTCTTCATAAGAAAGAGGTGCTTCTATAAAATTTACATCCTGAGAAACCCTAAGGGGCAGTTCTCCTCTTTTTTTTAAGGTCTCTATAAGTCAGTTGACCTAGAGTAGTAGGGTGAATCAAGGCAGGCTGTGTGTTCTTGCTGTGCTGTGAGTATGGAAAGAGACCCTGAAAGAAATGACTTTGAGCATGCCATAGACAGATTTCCATCAGTGAAAGAAAGGAATGTATGGGTATGATTCATTCCATGCCATAATGGACTAAGTAATGAACTTGACTTGTATTTTAAAACAGATATTAAAGTTAAATATGTTATACAGGATACAATTCCAGTGCTTGGTATGGATGTAGTTTTCCATGGGTGTGCCTCTGCATGATAACTTTAATTTTCGTGGGAGATACCGTGTATGCCTTGTGTGCTCACCTTTGAAACATGATGCTTCTAATGCTTCCATAGTTGTTTCATGCAGCAAATTCAGATTTTAAAATCCATGATTTGTTTAGTTTGTTTGGTAATAATATATCCTTTTTTGAAAAGTGTACCATCTTTCCACTTTATTTTGAGGTTGGCATGTAGATGGAATGTATAAGTTTATAATAGTGAATTACCGAAATCAACTCTGAAGACATTGTATTTAACTTCATTGTTTGTTGCCCTTGAATAATAGGATCTTGTTTATAACTACTTAAGTCTACTTTATTATAGCACTGAAATATTCCAGTGGAGTAAATATGGAGTAATGTATAAGTATAAATGTGTGCTCTTCTGAAATTTTTTAATTAATATTTAGTTTTCCAAAAAGATTTGTGTATTATCCACTCATTTTCACTTATTGTTTTCTTTCTGAATTTTCTGTAATTAGCCAGTAATACAGTGGATTTTACAACAACGAAATTCCTGCTTCAGGATTCTATGAGTTTTTTACAGGCTTTCAGTGTAAGGTCAAATTATGATGGTGTTCTTCCACAAGCCTTTGCTCAAGTAAACAAACTGCGCCAAACATTCTCAGAGGTAAGAACCATTTGGAATTCCAAATCGGGGTCAACTCAGTGACAACTAAGAAAAGCACTATTTGCATAACTTCTAAAAATATGTTTAGAAGATAGTAGTAGGTAAAGGATATTGTAATTCTAATTTAACTCTTTCATGGAAAAGATAATATGTAGATAATAAGGAGCATAAGCAGTGATGAGTTACAAGACTTTTATCTTCATAGGGAAGCAGGTTCACAACAGTTCTTGGTATTTTATATTGTTGTACATGTGGATAAAAGAAAGTTATCTATTATTCCTTGACTACTCATTCTCCTGTGCTCTAGGCCAAGGGATGTCAACATCCATCAGAAACAGTGTACTTTTGGTTGTTGTTTTTTTCAAACATGCAGGTAACAGCTCACTCTTAAACAGTAGTGAATCAAATTTCTGATATTGGTAACCAGTAACACTCAGGCTAGTAATTTATTTTGAAACAATTTCTGACTCACATACAATTTTATGAATAGTACAAAGAATTTCTATATTTGCAGTGATAAATTTCCCAGATATTAAACTTTTATCACATTTGCTTCATTTTATAAACTCTTTATATTTTTATTATTTCTCTTTTTATATGAGATTTAGTTTGAGACATTATGCCCTTTTACCCCTAAATACTTCCTTGAATTCAAAAATACTATTTTTTATGACTACAGTACAATGTGTCCTCCCTATATACCAGTTCAGAGTGTGTGCTGAGCAAATAATTTGAGAAGCTGGGCTTTATGAAAAGGAGTATGGCATCAGGATTTGAGGAAGTCTCATCAACAACCTGTGTTATGCAAATGACACAACCTTGTTAGCTGAAAGTGAGGAGGACCAAGGAGGACCTGAAGTACTGACCACAGAAGATGCAGGACTACAGCTTTCAATGTGGATTAAATCTCAACATCTCTTGTTGTTGTTGTTACGTGCTGTTGAGTCGTTTGCGACTCATAGCAACCCTATGTGCAACAGCCCTAAACCCTGTTTTATCCTGTGCCAATTGCATTGCCTCCGACACACCCATCCCAATCACCCCAGTCACTGAATCAATCCACCTCATAGAGGGTCTTCCCCTCCTGCGCTGTTCCTCCACCCTACCAAGCATGATGTCCCTCTCCAAGGACCTGTCTCTCCTTACAGCATGTCCAAAGTATGTCAGACGAAGCCTCAGAATCCTTGCCTCCAAGGAGTAGCCTGGTTTAACCCTCTCTAGGATGAATCTGCTTGTTTTCTTGGCAGTCCATGGTACATTCAATACTCTTCTTCAGCACCACAGCTCAAAGGCATTAATTCTCCTTCTATCCTCCCTAGTTGTTGTCCAACTTTCTGATGCATAACAAGTGATTGCAAAGACCATGGCCTGTATCAGGTGCACCTTAGTCTCCAGAGAGACACCATTGCTCTTGAGTACTTTTGAGAACAAAATTCCTTACCACTGGACCAATGGGCAACATCATGATAGATGGAGAAAAGATTAAAATTACTATCAATTTCATCTTGCTTGGATCCACAATTAACACTTTTGTTATCAGCAGTCAGGAGATTGGGAGACAAATAACATTGGGAAACTCAGCTGTCAAGGATCTTTCCAAAGACTAAAGTCCATCTGATTCATGCCACAGCTTCCAGTCACCTATAGGCATCTGAGAGTTGCATAGTTGGTAAGGATGACAGGAGAAGAATTAATGCATTTGAGTTGTGTTGGGAAAGAATGCTGAATACCCCATGGACTGCTAAAAGAACAAACAGATATGTCTTGGAGGCTCTGCAACCAGAATGTTCCTTGGAGGCAAAGATGGTGAAGCTTTATCTCACATATTCTGAACATGTTATTAGGAGGCTGTTCCTTGGAAAGGGACATCATGCTTGAAGAGGTGGGGAGAGTCAACAGTGAAGAGGAAGACCCCCAACAAAATGGATTGATACAGAGTCTGCAGCAATGATCTCAAATGTATCCTGGATGATAATGATGACAGAATTCAGATCTATTGTTCATCGGGTTGCTAGAAGTCTTACTTGACTCACTAGCACTTAACAACAATACTAATACAGTTAAATAGGAAGTTAGCATTGATCCAGGACAATGATCTACAAGTCTTATTCAGACTTGGTGTTAGCCTGCCAGTCTTTATTTTTAAAAATTAATTATTTCTTTTTATTGTTATTTGAGTGAAAATATTGTGTTATTCATTCATATTCATTTTGTTTTATAACTTTATTTATAATACTTAACAGTGTCTTGTGCTTATTCTGTATTGCCTTTTCCTTTACCCATCTTAGTGTTTATTGTCTATTAGTTTTTGGTTCCATCTTCTTCTCTTTCTTTCCCACATTATCAAATTGTAATGATTTTCTGTGTGTAAACCTTTCTTTAGTTTTTTGTAACAGTGGCCTTTACTTATCTTTAAATGAGTCTCACCATGATTCTTATGCAGCTGATCTGATACTGCTGGCTTTTTTACCTCTTGTCCTTTTGTAACTTAGATATTTAACTCAGCTCTACTTTTGATCAGAATTTTTCTGTAAGTTCTTTGATGTAAATGTTCAGTAACAGTGGTTAGATGCCATCCAGTTCTTCTGATCTTAAAGGGAGGCAATTGTTCATGGGAACAATTCTATTTCCTTCTGTTTCTGAATCTCCTGCCCTTCCCTCTTCATGTTGGAATCAACTTATAGCTAACCCCTTCTGCAGGTTTTCAGTAGTAATAAATTGTACAGGAGGAGATTGTTCTTTTTTCTCTTGTGGAACACCTAGTATTTGAACCTCATGCCTCTGAGTCGGCAGTGTAACTCCTTACTAGTAGTCTACCAGAACACTCTCCATGTAATTGGAGATCAGTTATTGTATCTTGGTAGCTAATTGCAACATTTTAAGATACTAGAATCAATAGAACTAATTTTTTTAGAAAGCATCCAGTCTGGTGTATCTCTTTAAACACCAAGTGATGTCTCAGTAACTTGAACAGAAGAAACAGAATGGTTAAAAAAAATATACTTAACCTTAAAATTTACCATGTGTGGGGAATTATGAAAAGAATAATATTCATTATTCATTTGCTTATGAGAAACTGAAGTGGAAAGATAATAGTACTGTTTTCTACATTTTTATATAAATGCAAGGAGAAATAGAAAAAAGATATGTTCAGTCTTCATTTATTAGCCTTCTAACCACCAAAAAAGCTAGACTTGCTTTGCCAAGACAATAGAATAATTAAAATCAATCATGCTAAAAAGCATCAGTGTTCCTGAAAGACCCTAGTCCTGCATTGTTGTATGTTGCCAAGTTGGAATTTACTTGTAGCTGACCCTCCGAGCAGATTTTCAGAGGCAGTTAATCACGGAGCAGTTGGTGGAACATTTGGTGGATTTGAACTGTGAGACTTAGAGATTGCAATGCGTCTTCTTACCAGTAGGCTGCTGTAGCTCTCCATCCTGAGTAGGTTTGTATATTTAATTTTGTGGAGCCTCAGTTCCTTTTTTATAAAATTATTAAAATAAACTTTGCCTCAGAATTATTACGAGAATTAAAATATGTTAATTTTTGTAAAACATTTAATGCCCAATACCTAACTAGTACATTGTTGTTGTTGTGGTCATTGAGTTAGAACTGTCCTATAGCTGACTCTTCAGTGGGTTTCCAGAGGCAGTTAATTGTGTGGGAGGAGATTGCCCATCTTTATCCCATGCAGCATATGGTGGATTTTTTTTTTTAGCAAAAGAAAAACTCCCTCATTGGTACACAATCCCCCCCCGCACCCTCCCCAAACCCCACCCCTACCCCCAAATATAATCC